CCATTTTGCATTTAAGCCTCAACTTAGCTGTAACTTTATTTTTGTATGTATTTACCGCCTCTCCGCTTTTCCGCTCCGCCCCATCCCGTTTCCCACATTATTCTTTCACATATAAAATTACTTGCATTTCGTTTCATTTTGCAAAATTCTCAAAATATACGTAAAGGCTCTAAAACGCTTTTTTAAGTTCTCATTTAGTTGGGTTTTTAATTTCTTTTTTTTAAATTTAATTTCATGTAGCTTGATTTTGTTTTGTTTTATAGTTTTTATGGTATTTTTTTTTTCTTTTGTTTTTTTGCAACAACTAACAATTTTTTGGGTTCATTTTTTTGGTTTTTTTTTTTCTTTGTTGGGTTTTTACTACATTTATATATCTTTATTTTTGGGGCTTTTCTGGGGGGCATTTTCTTGTATCTTTTATTGATTTTAAAATTCAACAACGTTTTTTGTCTTTAATAATATGTAAGAATATATATATATATGTATATATGTATAAGTTATGTATATGTATATAATATTATGTATATAATCATATATATATATACTATATATATATATATATATATATATATGTATATATATAATATAGCATATAATATGTTTCGCATTGCCTCGCATCTGCTCGCGCCTGCATTTCCGCTTTCGCTTTCGCTTCCGCTCTAAAAACACACACACTGCACCAGCCCCCTCTACCCTCTGCCCCCGCCCACACCCACGCCCACGCCCACGTCCTTAACTAACTGTAACTAAACCAGCGTGTGAGCAGCGTTACGTTACATAATCCTTATACATAATCGCTTTGCTAATTTCGCTTTTTGTTTGTTTTCTTTGCTTTGCACTGCAACAATTTGTGTCTTTAGTTACTATTTTTAACCCTGCCTAACGATCGATTCCCCTTCGCATCCTTCGCATCCTTCGCATCCTTCGCATCCTCCGCCTCCTCTACGCCTCAACGCCTCTCCCCTCTTCTATGTCTTCTATGTAGTTGGGTGTACATATACACATACATTTATGTATACTCGTATATGTATATAACTCTAGTATCTGTCTGTATAAGGTATGTATATATATAAAAATCATCAACTACGAATTTATCTACAAAAGTTACTCATTTTGTTGTTGCATGCGTACGAGTATTTTTCTCATATTGAACTAATTTTCCATTTTGTATATAATAATAATAAATATATATATCGTATGTATGTATATATATATTTAAATGTATATTGTATATTAAACATAATTTCGTTAGTTTTCTGCATTTCGGTTTTGCTTCTGCTTACTTCTCTTACTTTTCAGTTTTTTTATCGTCTTCTGTTGTTGCTACAAAGTCTACAATTTGTTACGGAACATTCTTATGCGAAAAAAAACTAGGTTTTCCTTTTCAGCTTCCGGCTCGAAGGCTGGAAACGATACAAACTATAATGAATACAACACTACAACAAACTAATGCTCGTTGCATAAAATATTTTTTGCCTAAATTCTGTGTGGAATTTTCCTTCTTTTCCTTATTTTCCTTCATTGTTTGCTATTTGCTTTTGCTTCCTTTTTGGCCTGGGCAAAACCTGGGATTTGAAACGGCCGCCCGAAAGTAGGCTACACAAAATGTCGCTCTCCCCTCGCTTTCGCCTCGCTCTAAGCCACGGTGTGTTCTTCATGTGTGCCTGTGTGTGTGTGTGTCTGTATGCATATGGAAAATAATTAACAATCAACTATGTAATTAATATTTCAATTTTTCTTGGTTTTTATTCAACAATTTTCTACATAAACAAAATGATTCGCTACAAAAAATCACACTACAAACTACGGAAAACAAATTGTTAAAAATATATATATATATAAAAAAAAAAACACTTTGCTTAAACCAAGAGTGTGGTGTGGTGTGGTTTGAGGGGATGGCTGTCAGTGTCTGTGTCTGTGTAAGGGTCAAGGGAAGGGGCGGGGGTTGTACTACTGCCCAGGCCTCGAATATAAGCAAAAAATATCAAATCATTTCAACTGTTTTTCACCTCTACGCGCAATTATCATTAAATCTTCTTAGACATAAATATTTGTATATAAATATAACATGATTTTTGTTTCGTTTGGTTTTTGTTTTGTTGTACAAATATGTAGCAATTGCTTGAATCTGCTTAGTGGTATAGTTAATGGGGTCTCAAGTCCACTATTTTTTTTGTTCGAGTTATCAATCAATTAACGTTAATCGTTAATCGTTTATCAATTATCGTTTATCGTTTATCATTTATCATTATCGTATCGTATAGACTTTTGTGTGTGTCTCTGTGTGTGTCTGTGTGTGTGTCTGTGTGTGTGTCTGTGTGTGTGTGTGTGTCTGTCAATTCTTTCAACAACCGAAGCTCAAAACATTGCAAAATGTCACCCATCTCTTTTTGTATCTATTTTTTGTGGGATTCTTTCTTTCTGTTTGATTATTATTAGTACATATTATTATTATTAATATTCATTTGTGTGGTTTGTTCTTTTTTGTCTCTAGGTGGTCTCATAGCAGTGCAAAAGGCTTTTTAGTTTTTCGGGGGCTCTCTTTGTCTCAAGGAGGAACGAATGGTGTGGGAAGGGGGACAGGGGACTGGGGACTGGGGACTGGGGGGCGAACGACTCCTTTCTGGCTAAATCTCTAGGTTCATATTGCTATATATAATGCTATATATAGATCATCTATATAATCTGTGTAGTTCTTGCGTTCTATCGTTAGGGTTAGTTTCGGTTACGGCATGGGGTTTATTTCTCTAACTCTGTCTTGAGATCCTTGTATTCATTTAGATACACACTAACAATGACGGGATGGCTGTGTGGATCTGTGTGTCTGAGTTGTGATGGATAGATAGATAGATAGATATTAAGATAGATTGTTGGGTGGATGGGTGGAAGGATGGTATAGGAAAAACCAAAAAAATAAACGAATTTTCAATATTTAAAAGCAACGCTTAGATTTTTATTATTACTCAAATGTTGTTTTTGTTTTTGTTTTCTTTTTAGCTTTTTGTTATGCTCAATCTTTGCTTTTGTTTGTTGTTTCTTTTGAATGGTTTTGCACATTTCTCCATAGAATAAATAAAACTTATTGAAATTTGTAAAGAAAAAGTGCTTAATGGAACTTAATTAGATTTCTGTTTCTCGTCTCGTCTCTTCTCTTCTCGTCTCTTCCCATTTTAGCTTCCGTTTTTTTTCTCCTTTTTGCTGAATATAAAACTTAAATTTCGTTTTCTCTTTGTAATTTTAATTGTTGTTGTTGTTGTTTTTTTTTTTGTGGATTTTTCATATATATTTGCTTAAGTCTCTAGATATTTTGTATGCAGGTAAATGTAACTCAAAGGTATAACAAACAATAATAATCGTAATAATCATAATAATAATAATAATAATTAATAAACTTAACTAGGAAATTGTTTTGTTTTTGCTTGTTTATCGTAACATAATTAATTAGTTTAAAAAAAAAAAAAGTTGTTTTGTTTTTATATATTTTATATTTGTTGTTTTGTTTTGTTTTGTTTTGTTTTAAGATCTTGCAAAATCACACCAAAAGAAATAGCATTTATTTTTCTTGTATACAAATGAATAAAATTGTTTTAAAACTAAAAGTAGGAAAAGTAGTGAACAAAAATTAAGTGAAGTGGGGGGCTGCATGGATGGATGGATGGCTGAATGGATGGATGTATGGTGTGGGGGTATGACGATGTGTGTTAGTACGAGTAGTACGAGAGTACAGTACGCCCTCTCTATGTTTAACCAGCTGACTATGTCTGGGTTAGTTCTTGGGGGGGGATTACTGTAGAGGTTACTGTAGTATCAACAAATTAACAACGAAAACTATTTCCATTTCCATTTCTAGTTTTTTGTTTTTGTTTTTTTTTTTTTTTTGTTTTTTTCTTTCTTTCTTCTTTTTGCACTAGCTCTGCACTGTCCGTCCCTGTCGTGCGTCTGTCTGTCTGTGTCTCTCTCTCTCTCTCTCTCTCTTGCTCGCTCTGTGTTGCATGTTCTTCTTCCTCTTTTTTTTTGTCCATTTTGTAGATTGGTTTTTTAATGTTTTTTCTTTGTTTAGGTTTATATAAAAAAAAAAATCATAGCTCACTTAACAACTAAACAGCTGCCAAGTGCCCGGCAACTGAGGAGGGAAGTTCTTTGCTCATTTCTAAATGGTTTTTCTCTTAGCTTTTCCTTTTTTGTGTTCTCTTTTTTTTTGTTTGTTTTTTTTTGTGGGTTTTCATTTTGCAATTTTCTTTATACAAGTTTTTCTTAGGCTTTTTATGGTTTTTGCTTTTGCTTTTGCATTTGCTTTCGTTTTGAGTTTGTTAAAAAAAAAAAAAGCCAACGAAATTATTTACAATATGATTTTTTGTTGGTGCGTGTCGTGTTGTTGTTGTTGTTGTTGTTGTTGCTTTGAGGGTTCTCTGTTCTCCTTTTTCTTCTCCTTTGCTCTGTCAAAAGCTAAACTTAACCGAAAAACTAATTACAAAAACATATGAATAGTAAGAAAGTAGAATGAAGGAGGGGGCTGTGGAGAAATTAGTTGGAGAAAGTAGGAGGCGAAGGCAGAAGAAAATGTTTCTCATAAAACTAGTCTACAAAACTATCAAACAATTTAAAATGTAACAATTTTAGGGTTGGCTTCTATGTGTGTGTCTGTGTGTGTGTGTGTGTGTGTGTGTGTGGTGTAGGATGCTCGGAAGTAGGCTACGGTAAAGGCAAAAAGCTGCGGCTACGGAGCTTTCGGATAGCTTTTTGCGCTCTGACTTTCTTTTGGGCTACTCTAAAAAACTGTATGCTTAAATTTCTTCGTTTCGTTTTTTGTTTTAAGTGTTTTAAGCACAACAAATAAATATTTTTAAGCGGAGCTTGCCGCTGCTCTCTGTAGGTATTTCTGTGTGTGTGTGTGTAGGTGTAGGTGTAGGTGTGAGGGGTGTGTATGTGTGTGTGTTTGCTTACTAATATATATATATATTTCTGTATAGTATATATATGTATATATATATATATATATATATATATATATTATATTTAGTGTAGGTTTCATGTCTGCTTTTACTAAACATTATTAGTAGTGGTTTTATCATAATTACTCGTATGATTATTGTTATTTTATCAATTATCATTAATCATTTATCATTTATCAATTATCATTATTTAATTGTTGTGGTGTCCTCAGGCCAAGTCACAAAATTGTATTTATCATTACACATCTTGGAATTTCGATAGACGTGCACGCAAGTCCATGTTCTCCTGTTTCAACTGCTCCACCTCCTGATGTAATGTTGCATTCTGTCGGGGAAGAAGCGACACATGTTTAGATATGATGGATATACCCTTTGGATGGATTATAACTTCGAGGTCGGGGTATTTGTACTCACTTCCTTCTCCAAATAGCGTGCTCGCATCGCGATTTGATTCTCCTTCTGGCGCCGGGCATCGCGGGATCGCTTCGCCGCAATGTTGTTCTTTCGCCGACGGGCCCAGTACTTGTCGTCCTTGAGCTCATCTGGAACGAATTGTTTGCGTGACTTTTTGATCATCGGCTGGGGCTTGAGCTCCTCGTCGGAGAAGGCTCGGGTGCGCGGATCGAAGTCACGGCCCGATGATGCAAACGAAAATGCTGGAATATCAAATACTAAATGTTAACAATGTTTCACAGACTGTTCGTGCTAAATGAAAATCATAAAAATCAACCTCAAAATTAACCAACAGAAAAGTTTAATCGAAAAAATTTACTTCTTTTTTTTTCTTTTTTTTTTTTACATTTTTGCACAAATTGGAATGGGAATCATTGAGTGAATCATTGAGAGACGACAGATCGATCTCTCTCGGTTTCTGTATCTGTATCTCTATCTTTAACATTTAGCATTTGATAAGACATTTCTTTTTCGGGTAACTTAAATTAAAATTTACTTATACGGGTCTCAATTATAATTTAAGTTAAGAGAGCAATGTCCATTCCATTTGTGTTTAAACATGTTTAAAATTAACAACAACAATATGTCAAGCAGATTCACAAATAACGAAAGCGATTGTCGATTCTCGGTTCTCGATTCTCGATTCCCGATTCCCGATAACAATAATGATGGAGGTTTTGATAACATTCGATTTGGATATCCAGAAATTTGTTCTATTGCGATTTAAATACCGATAATTTACCGATTTCGATTGCATTCCCGATTGCCGAAGACTGTCGAGGGTTTTTGATTATGATTTCTATTGCAATCTCAGATTAACATATCGACAGTGCGATAACTCGATAGCTCGATAACTCGACAACTCGATGGACTCCATCATTTGCACATTTACTTACTTGACTCGGCCGGCGATGGCGGATTTAGCGTGTCGGGACTAATGCAATCGGATGGCGATGGCGACCGTTCCCGCTTTGTGGTTATGTGGCCCAGGCCGAGCGACAGGCCCGCTGCGTGGCTCAGCGAATCGGAACGGTGGCCCAGACCACTTGAGTGTCCCAAATGGGTGCCGGGCAGGCCATCAGGTATGTTGTTCTCCGACAGGAATTCATCTAAGTCGGCGTACTGCAAAACGGCGCCGGGGAATGGAAAGAAGAAGGGGAAAGCAATGAAAAACCACACAAACATATAAACGAGGATCGGATGGATCGGTTGGATCGATTAGTCACACAATCACTGAGCTCTGATGATGAGAACATTATTCTCGCACTAAGTAAGCAATCGATAACATTCACGTTAACTGTTTCGCTGTGTCTTGTCATGACTGTACTTGTGGGTGGAGTGCATGTGTGTCTGTGGATGTCTGTGGATGTCTGTGTGCATGTGTATTGATTGGTTGATTGTCGAGTTGTTGTACGAAAGAGAGAGAGAGAGAGAGAGAGAGACGCAGCCACTACGCAGCGATGAAGAATGATACTAACTTGTGTTACCTTGAGGTCGGCATCGTAGGGCAGTGTCTTGTCCCAAAGGTTTGGGCCAAGAAACGCCGTCTGTGCCTCGACATTCCAGATGTCGCCCTCCTCCTTGTACTTGTCATCTGGACAGATGATTTCTTTGCTATTCGATGTGGATTTGCCTGCAAACAAAAGATAGAAACAAAGTACTTTGATTAGTCAAACGAACAAAACGATAAGATTTCGATGGGACTGCACTTAAGTGGGTCAATCGATCCATTATATAAACCAAAGAACGTACTTTTGGACACAGTTCAACAGAAAAGCCTGGGAACAACATTTCCCGAGCATTATTTCCGCAAATTTCCGCATGCAGCAGCGTCCATAAAAACGGGTTACAGGCAAACAAACACAACCAAACAAAAAAAAACACTACAAAACCAACAAGCACACAAATCAAACAAAACACACACACACAAGACAAAGAGACAGGGAGACGGACAGCCGCCGCTGAAGAGGAAGCAGCAGATACTCGTACAATATACAACAAAAAGCGAAAGTGAAACTTTTTCAGCTGTTTTCAAACTGATTTTTATCGCCAGCCAAAACAAAAAAAAAAACACAAAAAATTCACTCAGCAGAAAGAAAGAAAAGAAAGAGCCGCAAAATGCAAAAGCTTTCAGCGCAGCGGCAGAGGCAGAGGTAGGCGCAGGCGCAGGCGCAGGCATAGGCATAGGCAGGCCTTCAATGTTGTAAGCGCTGCTGCTGCGGCTGCCAAGGCTGCGCAGAAGCAGATAAGACTTCGGCTTAAGCTCTGCTCGCTGCTCGCTGCTCCTCTGCTCGCTGCTCTCGTTGTCACGTCAATCACTCACTTCCCCTCTCCTCTCATAGAAAGCACTCTCTCAACGCGCTGCCGCTGCCGCTGCCGCTGCTGGCTGAGGCTCTAGCGTCTGCCTAGACGCTGCGCATGCGCAGCAGAGCATGATCTTTCTCTCTCTCCCTCCCCTCCCCTCCCCTTTTCTTTGATTTCTTTCATTTCTTCCACGAGAGGTTCGGGGGGCGGGGATGAGGTTGAGCAGAGCAGCCAAAAACGAGTTTTCTGGCCACAGACAGTAACAGAAACCAGTTGCCGTCTTTGGTTTCGGCTCGCAATAGTTTCCGCTTTCTTATTCACTCTCACTTTCATTTGCAAATGCTTTTTTGTTTTTTTGTTTTTACAGTTGTTGCTTGTGCTTGGGCTTTTTGCATTACCGACTATTGCGAAATTTTATGCCATTTTGTGGCTAGCCCCCACCAGGCCCCAGGCCCCTCCGCGGCTCCTTCTTTCTGCTGCCGCATCCATTGCTTCTCCAAACACATTTCTGGTCTGTGCAATGAAGTAATATCTTTTCTTTTTTTGCCGTTCGATGTGCTCACCAAAGCGTAAGTGAAAATGCTCAAGTGTGTCTGTGTATCTGTGTATCTGTGTGGATCTGTGTGTATCTATGTGGGTGCTTGGGGTTGTCTGAGTGTGAAGTAATATCTGCAGTGTTGGAGAAAATTAGGACTTGAAAATCTGCAAATGCAATGACCAGGCAGGCGGCACACGAGCCCACGAGCCCACGGGCCCACGAGGCGTATGGGTAACTCCGTTTTTTGCTGCTGGTGCCAGTCTTTGGCCTTTTAATTAGACACTTGTTGTTGGTGTGTTGTTGCCCCCGGCTTAGGTGGGCGTCTCGGTGGAGGACATGGGTTTTTAATGAAAGTTGTGGCGGATTTAAACGATTTAAAGGTTGTTTAAGGAGTGGAAATGGTTATATTAGCGAAATACTTTGGTTAAATGGAAAGTAATGTGCTTAAGGCTTTGGCTAAGCCTGTCCTCAACTTGTTTAACCGCAAAATATTCCACAATTATGACAGCATTTCAGTCAATATTTCTTGCTTTCTGTCTTAAAATTTCGATGATCAAAGCCGGTAAATAATAAAACAACTTAGCCTCTAATCATGCACAACAAAACAAATACAAATTCTCAAAACATATGCAAAACAAAAGCACATAAAAGTCAATCAAAAAACCAACAACAACAAAAAAGTGGAGAAAAACTTTCAATGAAACAAAAAGCAAGACAATAAAACTTAAGTCAAAGACAACGAAATATAATGTCATGAATTATGATGAAAAAGAAAACAAAAACGAAATAAAAGAATAACACGAAAAACAAAACCAAAAACCAAAACTAAATTACCGTTTGCTTTGCAAATAAAACCCAAAAATGGTGATTTCCTGCCTGTAAAACAGAAGAAAAGGAGAAAGAAAAGATAGATAGATGGTAGAATAGAGATACAATATTGATTCTTTCAAGAAACAAAAAACAAAGAACAAGAGCAACTCGAACAAAAGCACAGCACAAGATAGATACAAAGATACGCATGCAAGCCAAAGATACAGATAAGGACAGCAAATGAAATTAAGAAAGGAAGATCCCACCCCGCCTCACGCCTCACATCCCATCACAGATACAGATTGAAGAACCCTCCAAATGAGCTACTTCTTCAGGCATGCCGCAGATAATTTCGACTTTTGTTTCTCAAAATTGGGCTAAGACCCGATCCGATACGATCGCAGAAGCACATGCAAGAAGGATGCAAACTAGCTGCCCCATCCCTTTCCATCCCTTCCACAGCTACAGATACAGATACTTTTACTTTTATTTCGCCTTATTCCATCTCAATTTATGTCTCTTTTCTCGGTTTACTTTCACTGTCATCAACATTCATTCGTTGATTTGTGTCTCGAGCAGGAATCCCATCGATGGGGTTTATTTTTAGAAGCAAAACCCCAAACAGGAATCCTCTTCTTGCCTCGACGTTTCTGTTTCAGTTTCGGTTTCGGTTTCTCTTGCCATTTTTTAAGTGGGTCAAGCGATTTTTTGTTTCTGTGTCATCACTGCTCTCGGAGCCCTCGCACCTTCTTTTTTTTTCCAGTTTGAATTTTATTTTACCTTTTCTGGTTGCTGGCTGCGGGTTTTTTTTTTGTATTTCTCCTTTGTTGGAGACCCAACGAAATTTCTCATTTTTGGTAATTAAAATAATTTGCATAATTTTCGTGACTATTTCACTTTCATTAGAAAGGGAGAGGGACAGCGATCAGAAATGGGAGAGAGATAGATAGATAGATAGAAACAGAGACAAAGAGCCACGGGCCTACGACAACATATTTATTGTTTCTCTGGTGAAACGCTCGCTCGCACGCACACGCACACGATCATCGCTATCTCGCTCACTCGTCCGCTCTGTGTCGCTGTGTGAAGTTCTCTTTTTGGTCATAATAATAATCATAATACTATGATTATTATAGTGGCATTATTATCTTTCTGTAAATTGTTGGTTTTCTGGCCTTTGTTGTGTTAATGGCTGGCCACAATTTTTAGTGGACCATGGTCCGTGGTCCGTGGTCCGTGGTCCGTGGGTTGTCTTTCTGCTGGAATTAAACTTTCACTTTTTTTGTTGTTTCGGTAGTTTTTGGGGTTTTACTTAGTATGAAGCTGCGTTAATTTGGTTCGTATTTTGGTTTTAAGTGACTCTGATTTAGATCGATGGTTGGCTCTGCATTTGCCACATGTGTGGAATATTTTTGATAATACTCGTCTGTTTGTGTTCCTCCTGGAGCGTTTCCTTACTCTTTACTCCATTTCTCTTATCTCGAGTGTTCAATAAAGCAATTAAATTTTGGATGCCATATCACATCCGTCTCTGCCTGCTGTCTGACATCCACCTGCCCCTCAGAGCTCTTGCTCTTGCCCTGCCCGCCCCAAAGGCGAAATGAAAGTGAGAGTGCTCACAGCGAAAAACCCAACAAAAACGAGTCTTAAATCTTGAGCCGGAGGGGGCTTCCCCCCTTCCCGGCCCCAAAAATGTACCCCAAAAGCGCACTCATTCAGAAACCAGTTTGAAATACGCAAACTCCGTAATAGCCAAAACCGAATCGAGTTCTCCGTATGAGAAATGTAGAACAAAACAAGAGGGAAGACAGAAGAGAAGCGTAGCGCGAGGCGACATTGAACTAAATATAGAACTCAATTTATGACAATTTATTCCAGGCAAAAGTTTGCCAAGAAGCTCCGCTCCACCACTTCCAGCAGAAGAGTACTTTGTGCTCGGCCAGGCCGTAAAGCAGCCAGAAGGAGAATAAGAAATTATGCAATTTTCTTTTTGCACAACAGCAAAAGAAAGTCTAGGGGAGACTTCGATGATCGAAGCCTTAGATACCCTCACAGATCAATCGATCGTTGTTCGATAGATCGTTTTGTGGGGAATATCTCTAAAGGGGGGTGCTATAGATGATCCATAGACATAGATACAATCTCTGCTTTGGCAAACCCTTCCGTGTGATCGTTAGACCCTCGACAAGAGGAAAGAGTAAAGCAAACCCATGCGGTCGGATCGCTTCCGAGCCGCGCTGCTGTCTCGCGCTGTCCGCCCCTTTCACCTGTCTGTCGTGCGCACTCTCTTTCTCTCTCTCTCTAGCTCTGTCTCTGTCTCTGTCTCTGCTTTGACTCGGAATCTCTGCGCATGCGTCGCTGTCGCGGTTGCTGTCGCTGCCAGCGCCGCTGTCGATGGCGCAACTGTGACGAGAGTTTTTGTTTTTGTTGTTGCTTTTGCTTTTGCTTTTGTCGCTTCAGTGCTTCGTTGTATTACATCGTTGTGTGTGCTCGATTGTACATCGCACTCTTTTTTTATGGTTTGTTGTTGTTGCGATTGTTGTAGTGATTGCTGTTGCCGTTGTTGTTGTTGGTGTTGTTGTTGGTGAAGTGCAGAAAGTGTAACACTTTCGATTGTTGCGCTGTCTCTTGTGTTTGCATTGCATTCATTCCGCATTTGCGCTCATTTGCATTTGCGAGTTGTTTTTTCTTTTCTTTTCTTTTCTTTCATTTCTTCTTCTGCCTTTCTGTTGTTGTTGTTGTCTGTTTGCTTTATGCCTTCTACCGCTCTTTTATTTTACGTGAAAATTAATTATGTGTGGGAAAATGTGCGGGACATTTGGATTTCCGGGTTGTTAGCACGAAGAAGAGACAGCGGGGGGGGGGGGACCTAGAGCCTACCATTCGGGAGATTGGCTAAAAATATTCCAAAGCCCGTTTCCAACTTCCTAGATGATCTGCCCCCAGGGCTATCCCCCCAGGGATCATTCTTCACAGTCCCTTGGGAATGGATATTCGGGATATTCCATCTATAGTCTCCTTACGCCTTGGAAAACTCCCCACTAATCTTGAAATTATGAAAGCTTTTCCTCAATTCCGTGTTGGCAATCTGTTCGGCTCTATAATTTCATACCCCTCGCACTCGCTGTCCCTCTCTCCATCTCTCTCTCTGGCTATAAAAGCAATTTCCCTAACGGCAGGCAGACAGGCAGACCGCTTTCTTTGTGATTACGAAATGAATAGAAAATTATGCCAAAGCAGCGAAATATTTTGCAATAGTTTAATTGGCCAACACACACTCACTCTCGGGCGGTGGAAAAACTGTCCGCAGCGAAAGTGAAAATGAAAAGGAAAACCCCACAGACAGTGCTGTGCGACACACATAGCGGTGGCAGTGCCTTTTCCATTCAACCCATTAGCCCAATTTCTGTGGCTGTTTTGAAAGAAAGCCATGCCGTCGGTGGAGAGCAGAGCAGAGCAGTTAATTAGCAGCAAAAATAAGGAAGCAAAACCGATAATCATACGGTATCGTGTTGGCTCTATGAAATTATAGACTCGGGCCGCAAACCTGCAACACGAACGGGCAGAGCGAGGCACAAGCCAGAGATCGGAGACATCGAAACCTAAATACAAAAGCGCTTCAAATATGCAGAGCACGCTGGAGCTGGAGCTGGAGCCGCGCCAGGAGAGACAGAGACAGAGACAGAGACAGAGACAGAGACAGAGACAGAGAGAGAGAGAGGCGTAGTGGAGGGGCGTGGTTCGCCGTAAAAGCGTAATCAAAACACGGTTTATTCAATCAAAGTGCTTCTGGTCTTTTGTGCCTCTTGCGACGACGTGTGAAACAGATCGCTCATACGCCTCGTGGTGCACGGCGAAAAGCTCTCTTCCACAAGCCACAAGCCACACACAGCACACACTTTCACTGATTCAAGTTTCTCACTTCGGGCAGGCAGCCCAGCAATTCGCACGTTTTACCGTTGCTCGGTTGCCTCTGCCGCGATTGCGCAACCCGAGCGACCAGCGAGACTCGCCTTCATGAGGCGTGCGCATGAGAGTAGTGTCATAGCCACGAAAAATTGGCAGCAGCAATCTCTCGTGTGCCCGTTTGGCCAAGACGAGTAGCCGCCTTTGATTGAAATAACTGTAATACGTTGCATTTTGGCAGGCCCCCTATCTGGGTGAGTGTGTGACGGTGGCGGTGGCGCTGACGGTGACGGTGACGGTGACGCCTCTTGCCCCATCCGCCTTTTGACATGTCTCCGCGTTGTGCCTCCAATGCGACTCGGAGGCCTCTGCCGCCCGGGCGATAGCTTAAACAAAAGGAAGTCATGAATGGCCAGATTATGATGGCAGTAAACCAACCACCGAGCACCGAGCACCGACCACGGAACACGGCCACACGAGTCGAATGGCAGAACGATAGAATGGGGCTTTGATAGGAAAGAAGAAGACACTGCTGTGGGGGTCAGGGAAATGGAAATGGAATTGGAATTGGAAGCGATGTTTGCGGAAGAAAGAGATGCCATTCCTAATAACATTGGGAGCTCCATCCATCTGCACATTTATACAAATACATACATATATATACGATATATGTATGCATGTATTTGTCGGACTTGGATTTTTGGCAACTTTCCAAATTGTACATTTTTGATTAAGATAAAATTATATTTATTTCCCACTCTTTTGGAACCCTTCAGCATTTCTTCTCTCTGTTTCCCTCTCTCTCTCTCCCTCTCTCTCTCTCTGTGTGTGTCTTTTTGTCTCTGTTTTATTTCAAAAAGAAGAGCCAACAAAGTCAACAAAAAACTACCAAAAATAAAAGCGAAAGAAAGACAGAAATGAATTTAAAAACTGCCGAAAAAGTGAAAGTTAATTTTTTTTTTTTTTTTTTTTTTTTGGTGATGTTGCTAAGCCGGCAGAGCGCCAGCAGAGCGGCTGGAGTCAGGCATCGGCTGTGCTGTGCTGTGCTGTGCCTCCAATGAAAGTAAAAACTTGACGCGTTTTTCGGCAGCTAAAGAGGCAGCAGCTCTTTATCAGTTTTGATATTGTCCGCCTGGACACATATAAATTATGCCGCCACA